GTGCACTGAGGGTATCCTTGGGCAAGGTATTCCAAGAGCTTACAATGAAGTAATGAAGTAGTCCCGGATGAAAACTAGTTGGGTCTTGCACCTGACTACTCTCTCTCTCTTTATCTGGCTCAGGGGGTGTAGAAGTACTCACACTGTCCTGTCCTGTTAGCTTTGTTGGTTGAAGTTTTTTTCAGGCCTTTCATTGGGCTGTCTCCTTCTCAGCTTACAGATTGTCTTCCCTAGGAAATGGTGGGACAATTGAGATCCTTCTGTCCAGCAACCAGCCTGTAGGTAGGCCCCACACTCCAGCCTCCTCTTAGTCCATCTTCCACCTGACACTAGCACTGCTGCACAGGCCCTGCCACATTTAAGGGTTGTCCTTGGTCACCATGCCCAGTCTCCTGCCAGGGGACTGGCCAAGATCCCTCAGACATGCAGATCTGGGCCTTCTCCCCTCTCCCAGAAAGTTTCAGCAGTTTCTGGAAGGGTTCCAGAAGCCATGACCTGTAGAGCATCCCAGCCTCTACTGAAGTGAGCTCACTACCTCACTCTCAGACTGCTACACAGCCTCTATCTAACAAAAACCCTATCTAGCTAATCTAGAGGGTTTTGTTACACTTGCTTTGCCATTGTTTTCACAGATACATGGGAGTATAATATGGGAAACAGACACCTTATAAAATAATACTAGCTCTCTTAGAGCAGAGGTATTGAATTAAAATTCACCAAGGTCCAGGCAGTAAAATTTGCATGCATCAGAGATCCGAATGTCATGTAGGCTCCTGTGGTACATTTTCATCTGCGCCAAACCACGTGTTGCTGCAATACGATTTTGAATAAAAGGGTCGGGGACTTCTTCAAGTCTCTAGCAGGTAGTGCTGACCTACCCACAACGTACAGATCTGACCTGTTCTCACATCAGTGTCTTCAATCCCCACTGCAAATCCCAGTCCCTTCCTGATTCACAGCAAGGTCCCTCTTAATGAGTATCCCCAGCCCCCCCTTTATATCACCCCCCTCCACCTCTTCCACAGTAGTGTTCTCACACTTCCTTGACATCGAACCCCCCCCCCCCCTAACAGTACTGTCCTTTGCCCTCTTTACTGAAGAGTACTCTGCCCCTATTTACATCATCCCCCCACATTACTGTCCCCAGACCCCCCCCCATATTCCTGTCCTCTGCCCCCACATTACAGTTCTCAGCTCCTCCCACTTTAATGTCCTCAGCTCCTACACACCACAGTCCTTAACCCCCCACATTACTGCCCTCAGCCCCTCTTCACACCAATGTCCTTAGCCCCTTTAACATTGCCCCCCCCCCCCACTGTCCTACCTTACACAGACAGTTATTGACAAACAGTGATTGCTAGAACTGCCCTTCATCCTAGCAACCAATCACCTGCTTGTTAAACTCGGGCAGCTCCCACCCTCCACCCAGAACTGTTCTGCCTCCCTCTGTCAGCTCTGTGAGGATGACCGCGAGACAGCTGGGGGAAGAAAAGGCAGGACTACATGGGTCCGGAAGGGACAGTGACTCGGTCTGCATCCGGACCCCAGTCTGCCATTTAGTGATTCCTGTCTTAGAGGATGCAGAGAGCTTAATAAATTACAACTAAATCCTCCTGTATGTCAGTCTAAACAAATACCAAATCTAGTTATTATGTGATGCATAAATTATACGGACTCTACTTTCCCTGGCAGAGCCAAATCTGCCTTCTTTTGTGTCTCACACGCCCCCCTTCCCAGACACTGCAGCTCACAGCAGGAAGGTTTCAGCAACAGAGGCAATGCTGCCAAAGCAGAAAACAGTGGGTGGGACTAGCTGTGGCCAGGTGTTGATTGACACGCTACAGACTTGGGAATCAACATTTACAAAGTAAATAGCCGCACCCCCTGCAACATTTGTTTTGCTCCACTGTAGTGCAAGCAGGCTTAGCCTATATTAGAGTGGCAACACTGCTCTGAATTTAGGAGTCGTGAAGCATTGTTGCCACATCATCACATAATGCTGCATATTTGGTTGACCTTACTGGCATGATCAGCAAGTATTTGTGTGATGTTACAAGGAGGTGTAGCACATATTTTTTTTTAACCTCTTGCCGTCCGCCTGCTGTTTTATAAACGGCAGGGCGGTGGCAGTCCAGGGGCGGGTTGCCGTTCCTAAACGGCACCCTCCTTTTCTAGCTGTGCGCGCTCCCTGGGAGCGCGCACCACCGCGATCCGGTGTCCGCTGTGTCCTCCGGACACAGTGAAACACCGATCGTCGGACGGGACCTCTGTACGAGGTCCCGATCATGTGATCACTGATTGGCGAATCAGTGATCACATGCAAAGTAGTAAGCAAGATGTCACTTGTGACATCATTGCTTACTACGTGTGAAATCTGTGAATGATCACAGAGGTCACATGGTACAATTCACAACAGCCTTGTACCATGTGACAAGCTGTGACCAATCACAGCTCACACAGTACTTCTCAATGACTGCAAGAATGCAGACAGAGTGAAGGAGAAATGATTGCTTTTACATCCTATATGGGTGTAAAAGCAATCAGTGTAAAAAAAAAAAAAAAAAAAATCTTCATCACCCCCCACAAGTAGTACAGTGTCACCATGGTGTGACACTGTACTGCTAGGGTGACAGTATGTAAAAAAAAAAAAAATAAATAAAAAATAATAATAATATAAAAAAATAAAATAAAAATGTAAAAAAAAATGTTTAAAAATTATAATTTTTGGTTATAAACTAATTTGGATTTTTTTTTTTTACTAAAAAAATAACGGAATAAATTTTGGCCAAGATTTATGATGAAAGATTATTTATTTGCAAAATTTTATTTAAAAAAAACACTTTTTTTCAAAATTTTTGAAATTTTTCATTTACATAGTAAAAAAAATAAAATCCCAGCGGTGAATAAATACCACCAAAATAAAGCTTTATCTGTCTCAAAAAAATGGTAAAAAATTCATATGGGTACAGTATTTCATGACCGCGCAATTGTCATTCAAAGTGTGATAGTGCTGAAAGCTGAAAATTGCCCTGGACAGGAAGGGGGTAAAAGTGTCCGGACAGGAAGTGGTTAATGGGAGACTATAGTTCTGCTTTATGAATATCACTGGCTGGCTGGTTTGTGAACTGTGTAATATTTCACCTGAGTTTCTCATATATACATGGTGAGGGGCTACAGGGTTTATGACTGCATTTTTATTCAGAATCTTGTTTTTTCAGTTCTGTTTCAGGTCCCGGAGACTAGGGTTGCACTGTTATTGGTATTGGTGCGTATACTAAGCATTTGCAAGAGTACTCGTACAAATGCTCAAATAAATAAACCAACACCTTTGTGATACGATTTGAGCCCATACAAAATGAATGGGCTCAAATTGTACTGTAAAGAATCGCATGTGATTTGAACAGGAATTTGGTGCAATTCCTTTCCGAATCCCATGCGGTTTCTCTGCGGGTGAAGTGCAATATGCAGTGCGATTTGATCCCTTGTATGGGCTCAAATCGCACTGCAAAAGTATAGGTATCATCAAGTATTTGAGCACAAATATCAGTACTCGTACTCGCAGCTAAAAAAAACATTATTGGTGCGACCCTACTGGAGTCCAGAGGCTTTATTGGGCTTTGAGAGGGATAAAGCTTTCACTCCTAGGCCCACATCTTACCTCAGTATTAGTCTATGCTGTTCACAAGCTTTTTATTTTTGTCAGTAAACTGATGCTCAGGGATCTTTCTGTTTGTTCCTAGGTGAAAAGGGTGATTGCTGACAGAAAACTATAAAAGATACAGGTACTGCATGTTTGTGCTGGAGAACAAGGGGATATTGTTTATATCTTGGTCTGTACTTTATTATTATAATTATTATTAAAGACATATCTCTTATACCTTTTAATGGAATCCTCCATTGGACCTGGATAGCAGAGGAATTGCACCAAACTTCACAGGTTACATTAGCTCCGTAGTTCAATGAGAGACTGTATAGTGAGAGCAGGTTTATGCTAATCCAGTTTCCATCTTGGTCTTCCCAACAGATCATTTTGCCTTTGTGAAATATTCCGGAGATGTTCAAGGTCCATTGAATGATGTTGCAAATCACATTTGCTGCACAAGCCAGCTGGATGGTGTTGGAAGGAGGATGCAGTGAAGGAACCAACAATGTATCAGAGCTGTTGGCCTTGGTACTATCTAAAGGCATGTATGGGAGAAAGAGTTAAGTCAGTTATTTCGATCAAATCCTGTACACCTATCGCAAAGGGTATTTCTAAGACAAATGGAAATCTATTTGAGAGCCCTCCTTCTTGTAGTGTAGGTTGATGCTCGTCTTCCACCATGACTCTGGAAACAGCAGGACCTTTTCCCTCTGTTGGCAGTAAAGCCAAAATTTCACCCCTAAGAGCAGGGGCAGCCGGACAACTTATGGGGCCCCCGGGCAATAGGGGATCATGGGGTCCCTGCGTCCTTGCCTAAACTCAAAAAAGTCTATGAAAAAGGTACCAGGGGCATCTCATGGGGGCCCCTACTGACCCCAGGCCCTCGTGCAGTGCCCGAGTTTCCAAATGGTCAGTCCGCCCCTGCCTAAGAGATATTGGATCAGATTTTTTTTCTTTAAATCATAAATGTAGGCATATAGCTGAATACACAATTGAAACCCCTGAGTTCTTTTACCCTCTAATAAAATGCTATCCTCTGCATACACCCCTGCCAGGCCCTGAACATTTACTTGTCTCTATTAAAATCAAAGTAACTTAGAATAGTTTAAACTGTGATTGGATAGTGAAGGAGTCTCTTCTTACAGATGAGGTCTTTTCTGTGCACTCTTCTGAAATTAAACTCCATTTTTAATATTCACAGCATTGTAGAATGCTGTGAATTCTGCTTTATAGGAGATCACAGAAGACAGTATAGCAATAGATTTTGGTATTTTGGGTACTATTTAAAATGTAATTCCACCTTTACACCAAGTATAAAAAGATGAATTTCCAACAAATACCCCTCTTCTCCAGTCCCCACTTATCTGCTGTGCCAATAATCTTCCGCCATTTATGTCTACTGATGTACTGATCCGTACAATTTTAAACGTCATACGCAGACCCAGAGGCAGTGTAGCAGCCAGGGGGATACTGACAACTCATGGGGCCCCCGGGCAATAGGGGATCATGGGGCCCCTGTGTCCTTGCCCAAACTCAAAAAAGCCTATGAAAAAGGTACCAGGGGCATCTCATGGGACCCCCTACTGACCCTGGGCCCTCAGGCAGTGCCCGAGTTTCCAAATGGTTAGTCAGCCCCTGGTAGCAGCATATTGCTGGCAATAGCAAGCAGTCAATGGTCAGAGTAGTAATGTGACAGTGCTGACCAGTTAGGGCCCTGTTGCCCAACCTGCGGCCCTTTAGTATATGATGTTTGGCCCTCAGACCCCAGCAGTCTGTAGTGGGAACAGATAATAGCATTGATCTATACTAGCCTTTTGTAACATGTTCCCAGTTTCCTATTGTCTTCTGCAGCTTATCCCCACCCAAACATGTAGCATGTCCTCACTCTCTGACCATTATTTTATCTTTTAGGTCTGCAGTTTCTGACAGTTCTCTCAAGCATTACATATATTGAACATTATGTACCCTTTTGTGATGACAGGGGCTGCATTTGAGGCCCCCTATATTTCATAAGTTGACAACCACGGATTTAGAGTCTCATCTTCTGTCCCAGAAGTAAGAAACTTCTACATGCAACTCTTTCTAGGGTATTGAATGCCTGGTCCCCCTCTGTGCAGTGTGGTTCCTTTTTCCAACCCCTGGGCAAATAGTGGGAGACCAGGCATCCAACACACTGGTAGGCATATTAGATGATGAAGGTGATTCAGCTAATAAAACACCTGAAAATGGAGAAAGCAGAGATCCGCACCATAGAGTTGAAGAAGGGGTAAATAATAAACCCTTGTCACATACAGAAATATCCTTCACGACTGTATTTTTTACATGCATTGTGTAGTTTTCATTTCAAATATAAAACATTTAAATGGTTCTGAAATACGTCACAAAGAACAAAGAATCAGAGTAGCTTGCATTTTTCATATCTGCCAGAAGGTGGTGGCAACCTAGCAGAATTTTAATTACAATATCTTTTTTTTGTAGTCCATAATGAAATTTGTAAATTACAATTCTTTTTCATTTCTTTCTTAAATGAAACATTAAAGCAGACCTTGCAGTAAAATGTAGGATCCTTTTTTTGTTTTTTGAATTAGAACCCACCCCAGATAAAGTGCTATGTATTAGAAGAAAAAAATGCACCTGTAAGGAAAAAGTTATGACCTAAAAATGTTGACTGAACGGTTACCTTTTAGTAACACCCAACAATATAAAACACAGTGCAAATTACTGGAAATTGTGCAAAATACAAAATGCAAAAATAGTCCAATTATTAAACTGTCCTCCAAAAAATGGAAAAAAGACGTACAGACGTTATAAATAACATGCAAAAAAAATTGCACGACAAAAATCATAATTTGGCCGGTGCTATAATTTCATAAATTAAAGTGTCCTGTGCAGTCGATTTCATATATTCAAGACAATCTCCAGTGCATACTAATGAATAATATTTAAGGAAAAAAGTTAGAATAAACCCTTCCAAAGGGATTCCTGGGGAATGAGGAGTACCCCAAATTCCACAAGAAGACACTTCCATCCAGTTGTTAGATTTGACTTGTGCTGCATTCTCCAGGATCTTACATCACCCTTACTTAGGTGCCGCAGATGAAAGGCGAGGGTAAGGTAAGCATATATCCTTTTATTCTCTTCTAGTTATGGGCCAAACACCCCCCTGTTCGAACCTAACGAGAGTTCGACCGTGAACTTCGAATCAGCACAACTCACCAAGTCGTATCTTTGTGTGGTAACATACCGCACAGCATTTTTTTTAAAAAACTACTAAAATACAGCATGAGTTATTTTATTAAGTCATGTGATATTTTAGAAGTGAAAACATTCTTTAATGTTTCAGCTGTCAGCAGGGTTCCTCACTAACAGCTGAACGTAAACAGAATTGCTAGAAATTAAAAATTTAGCAAAAAAAATGGCGTGGGGTCCCCCCCAATCCTTACCAAGCCCTTGTGATGTCATCGTGTGCTGTGATTGGCCAAAGCATTGCACCTGATTTGTGGTCAGGTGCATTGCATTGGCCAATCACAATGAACAGTCAGAGCACAGTGCATTGTGGGGCGCAGCAGGCGAATAGCAAACCAAATGCCCTTACCGTTTGTGTGTTCACTGAATACGCGAACGGACGATGTTCGAGTCGAACTCATGTTCCACTCGAACATCAAGCCCAGCACTATTCCCTACAGGTCTGCTTTAATTTTTCCTTTAACAATGATAATAAAAAGAACTTAAATTTACAAAATTTCATAATGTCTTTTTTCAAGAAAATAGCACTTACTTTATATAAAATTTAATGAATTTCGCAACTGCTGTACATAATCACCTATTATAAAGGCGGTAATTGAGCGCTGGGAACAATAATGTAATGTAAAGCTGCTAGCATAAAAGGCAACCTCTAAAACCCAGTACAAGAAATATAAAATAAGTATGCAGTGCTAATGTAAAAAATAGAAAATAGAATCAGATAGATGAAAAATATATAGAATCAGATAAATCAGAAATTGCACAATATCATATTCCAGCGACTTAGTCCATATATAGTAGTACAGCAAAGTGATTATGTGCAAATGTTCATAAATCCACAAAAGAGGGATAACCGTGACTCTTGTGCTCTTGAAAGTATACAAACATTGCACTAACCAGATAGCGCGATTGCCCTTTTCTCTCTTGTCTAGACTAAACCTTCTGGAAGATGGCCGCGCATTAGCGACTGCGCATGCGCGAACCGCGATCGGTGATGCGGTCACGCACGAATGCGCGCCAATTATAAATCGGCTATTTATAGCTTTCATTCATCATGGGCACACTCCCTCTGAGGAAGCATAAGCACACGAAACGCGTTAGGGAGGTGCCCCTGACCATTGTACATATACCGCAAGGCCATCCTGATTGACACCTGGTGGCCACATTGGATCCGGATGTAAGTTTGTTTTTTAATCTGTACATGCTGGAATTTTGTGAATTAAAGACCTACTGCACTATTGGAAGCTTTCTCTGGGCTCATCATTTCTATGGGAGCCCGCTTTTGAAGGTTCCTGATGACCTGTATTGGTGTGTGACCTCTCCCTCCCCCCCTGGTGACTGGCATAGTGGAAGTTTAAAGAGCACACCTAGATTGATGACACCTAGTGGCCTACACGCTGATGACATCTTCATGGTATTACATGTCCAGAGCACCAGGAGCAGGTCTTAATTGCTCCACGCACAGTTAATGCGCTATCTGGTTAGTGCAATGTTTGTATACTTTCAAGAGCACAAGAGTCACGGTTATCCCTCTATTGTGGATTTATGAACATTTGCACATAATCACTTTGCTGTACTACTATATATGGACTAAGTCGCTGGAATATGATATTGTGCAATTTCTGATTTTTCTGATTCTATATATTTTTCATCTATCTGATTCTATTTTTTACATTAGCGCTGCATACTTATTTTATATTTATAATCACCTATTGTTTCGGTAACACATTGGTTACCACCAGGACAAATAGAAGGTAAATGTATTCATCAAGGACACGGACAACAATAAACCAGGAATAAAAATGCTTTGCTTATACACTTTAAGTTAAAAGTTAGTAATTAATAGGGTAGTGAGGTCATTGATAAAGTGTGTCACAAACCAATATCAGGATTAATTAGTTGTCCTTTGACAACTTGTAAGAAAAAAAAATGCAATCTGCAACTGCTATGCAGTCTAATATTATGAAAGGCTTTACAAGGGGTGCTATGGAGGACTAGATGCACATACCTCCCTCCAATGTGCTAGGTCTTTATTAAAAGAATTTGGCATATACCTTGGCTTACTAATTATTTGGGGCAACTCAGATTTCTGCCCAGAAGACCCCTGACCAGACACTTTTTTTATGATCACTGGCTCACAATAAAGTACTATCTATGATTAAACACCCACTCATCCATAACTCCAACTCCAAATGTAGGCAGGAATAATGCTGCAGTGTGTCTGCCAACCTGAAGTTGTGATGCTTCTTTAGGCAGGCAGGAACCCACTGAGGACAAAGTTATCCTGTGTTTTGAGCTCCAGGTGCCCACCATTTTAAAGTGACTCCTGCATGCAAGATGAATGGGACAACAGATACTATGTAACTTGCCAGTTAGTGCCACGTGGCTCCCCCTGTGCAAGGAGTGGCTTTGCTCCCCAAAAGGAGAAAGGAGAGGTCAGTTTGTAGTGCTGAGGAGGCATAGTTTTCCATGGCCTGAAGAAGTGTATGGCAGGATCATGAGATGCAGTGAAAGCCCCACAGCACCCTCTCCATTGCACCATAAGTTACCTGTATCATAGAGTGGAACTGTCAAGTGGAAAATGTAATTTATTATACCTGGGGAAAATTGTCTTTATGTGACGAGTGCACCCAAACCTCCTATTCTTGGGTCCCCCACAGGCGCTTCTGGCTCCTCCTTTCTGGCTAATGCCCCCAATAGAAAGCAGCTTCCCATGGGGGCAATCATGTGGGCATTGACTCTGCCCCACCCCCTACTCCCTCATCACTGGCTTTGACAGCAGTGGGAGCCAATGGCTCTTGCTGCAGATGTGCACAGCACTGGATCAAATGAGGGCTGGGGGGTGTGAGGGGTCAATACCATGGCCTAAACATTTTTTACATTAATGCAAGCAATGCATTTAGGTAAAAAATGTTTAGGCTTTAGAACCACTTTAAAGCAGAATTAAACTCAAAAAATGAAAAAGCACTGACAGGCTGGGTATTTATGATAGAAGTGACCCTTGTGCTCTCTTCTATCATCAAGCAGTTTCCCTGTCTGTCTGCAGTAATGTACACTGAGCCGTGCATGTGCAGCTCAAAGTAAATTCAAGGCACTGCTCTGTGCCATGGTTAAGTGACACCTGTGCACATGTGCAGAAGTGACATCATTGTGGCACGGCCATTTAATTGGCCGAACAGAGCAAAGCCAGAAGAAAGGCTGGAAGTGCC